GTGGCTGTGCTTTCACGTGGGACCAGCCATTCGGGTTTTTGGCATCCTGGTTGGTTGTTTCCCGTTGTTCGGCCCTTTGAGAGGCGGGGCGGTGCCTGTATGTGGGAATCGTCATCCGGGATTGTCTTCTCTTTTCTTTCTTGGTTGTCACACTGTGGATCGTCGCTTTTTTATGTCTTGTCCTGGGTGGTCTTGTCCCGTTGTTTGGCCTTTGACGGAGCGGGCGGTGCTTGCATGTGGGACGTGTCATCTGGGATTTGTTTTGTTGCCCCCCGTTCTGTATTATTTGGCTGTTCCCTTCCTCTTTTCTTTGCCTCTTTGCCTTTTGGCTGTGTGCAAGTGGGTCGATATGACACACGGGGGTGGGGGCAGCCGCCGCTCAACCTGCATCCACGTGGGCGGCCTTGTACGCAAGAGGTTCTGAACAGGGGGAGTTGTAAGGAAGAAGATTAAAAACGAATTTAAGATTTTTTTGTTTTTTTGGTTTTTTCGCTTAGGCGCTCTGATATTATGTGACAATATATGCACACTGTCTCTTTTTCCCTATTTGGGGACGGAATTGCAGCCAGATGCAAACAGGTCTGGCCGTAAATGCGGTCAGATACGTTTAATATAGTCGCGAGGACGCCCTTACTGTTTCTGAATTGATGCAGTCTCCGTGGTCTGGGGCTTGGTCCCACCAGCAAAGAGGATCGGATCGAATGCCTGAATCTGGACGAGTTTATGGAGAGGTGCAGGAAATCGAGATTGAACTGCTTTTCTGCATCTCTGCATAAAACACATCCAGATTCAGGAGCTTGATCCAATCCTCTTTGCTAGTGGGACCGTGCTCCTGGTAGCGGATAGAAAGTGGCCTAGCTCAGTTGGTAAAACACCGCTGAACTTAACTGTTGAAATACAGACTATACCTTTCTCGGCCTTTTGGCTAAGATCAAGTGTAGTATCTGTTCTGATCAGTTTAATATCTGATCCGTGGTCCATCGGGCCACATTTAAAAAAAAAAAAAAAAAGAAGAAAAAAAAAAGCAAAAGAAAAAGAAGAAATACAGACCAGGTGCTGAGGTCGAGCCCCACTGGAAGCAGATGAGTGAAATACACTACAATTCTGAATTACCTTGGGCCGGTCATTTTTTTTTTTTTTTAATCTCAAGGCCGTAGCCCTTTATGACAAGGGGAAAAAAAAAGAGAGAGAGGAAGTGCATGAAGACACAGAAGTGTTAGGGCATGAAAATACAAAACTTAGGTCCCGACCTCAGGTTCATTCTCCAAGAGGGCAGTCGAGGTGAGGACCGAAAACTTCTTCCAACGATCGAGTACTTAAGGCCTTGCTCCACTGCACAACATTCTAGACGTATCTGGACAGTGTCTTGGTCTGGAAACACTCGGATCGATCGAACGTTTTGAATATAGCGGGATACCAGTACCATTTCCAGATTACATTTGAAAATGGGTAGCGGAGCGATCCCCTAGTTGTAGTTTGAAGTATAGCAAAAGCAGAGTCTATACATAGCAATCACCAACGAGCGTAATGAATCACAACCGAAGTCGACAAAGCAAGTGGAAATGATCTGAGAATCAGATAGACAAATTAAGTACTACAGTATTTGATTTGTTAAAGGGTACTTAACCAAGAAGGTTCTGTTGCAGAGAGATGATGGTGTAATCACATTGCAGAAGCCTAGAAGGCTTACAGGTTTAAGGGCCTCGCCGCACGGGACACGAAACGAAAAACAAAACGAGTGTATCTTCCTGCAGAAAATGGCCAGATTCGTCGGTTTGCTATAAATAGTAACGACTCTAACGAGTGTATTTTGCCTCCTTTCGGGGGCAGATGCACTCGTTTCGTTTTCGTTTCGTGTGCGGTGCGGCGAGACCCTAAGCCCAGTAACTGCACTGGACCGATGG